TCCAGGACCATAGGATTTCAGAGCTTGTTACTTAAGTTCTCAGGTTTTTCATATGCACTTGGAATTTATTTTTTGCTACTTTCTCAAAGTAATGCTCCATAAATATTTCTTATGTAATTCCAATGCATCCAAAGAGATTTAGCATTTGAGTTTTAGGTTAAATCAATAAACTGATTAAAACCATAATTAGAAATCACCAACTTTTATCTGGAAATAAACTGAAAACTGTCATTCATTTACTAAGGCCCTGGTGTACTTATTTCTGTAAAGAGAAAACTATACTTTGCTCAAAGAAGTAATAAAATATTTTCTCCTGTTCTCATGTGTACAAATTATGTTTATTTTATTGTACAGGCTATATATCTTCTGCAATACCTTCATCTGCCTGTAGGTGTAAAGTTAAAATTCAGCTCCTCTGCCAAGGTAAGAAATTAGATAACTGGCTAAAATAAGTTATTTCAGTGTATACTGCTCAGGTGATGGGTGCACCAAAATCTCACGAATCACCACTAAAGAACTTACTCATGTAACCAAATAACAGTTGATCCCCCAAAACCTATAGAAATGAAAAATTCTAAAAAATGAATATAAAGAAAGAAGTTATTCAATATGCGGGCTTGTATTTATCTATTTTTTCCATTGTTTACATTTTGCTCTTTATTTCTTCTTAAAAAAAAAAAACAGAATACATGCACAGAACGTGCAGGTTTGTTACATAGGTGTACATGTGCCATGGTGATTTGCTGCACCTATTGACCTGTCCTCTGAGTTCCCTCCCCTCACCGCCGACTCCCCAACAGTCCCTGGTGTATGTTGTTCCCCTCTCTGTGTCCATGTGTTCTCAATGTTCAGCTCCCACTTACGAGTGAGAACATGTGGTGTTTGGTTTTCTGTTCCTATGAGTGAAAACATGTGGTGTTTGGTTTTCTGTTCCTGTGTTAGTTTGCTGAGGATGATAGCTTCCAGCGTCATTCATGTCCCTGCAAAGCACATGATCTCATTCCCTTTTATGACTGCATAGTATTCCGTGGTATATATGTACCACATTTTCTTTATCCAGTCTATCACTGATGGGCATTTGTGTTGGTTCCATGTCTTTGCTATTTGAAATAGTGCTGCAATAATCATACATGTTCATGTGTCTTTATAGTAGAATGATTTCTATTTTGGGGGGTATATACCCAGTCATAGGATTACTGGGACAAGTGGTATTTCTGGTTCTAGATCCTTGAGGAATTTCTATACTGTCTTCCACAATGATTGAACTAATTTACAGTTTTTCTTAACAGCAGTCATGCCATGTTAAAAAAAATACAGCTGTTTTCTTCAAGAAGTCTAAAAAAAGACTTCCTTGTACTACTTAAATTTAAAGACCAAAATGGCATAATATCAAAAAAGAAATGTAAATAGAGAATCAGCTGCCAACTAAATGCCACCATTACTCACAGTGTATATCACCTACTTGTCTTAGGCATCATTCATTTATATTATAGTCTGGTCCACTGAGACTATTCATCACATTTTTATTGAGCAATTTCTATGTGCTTAGTACTGACTGTGCTAGACTCTATAGGTTCTCTGTAGGTGCTTTAAGTCCTGGCCACAATAGCTTACAATGTGTTTGAGTATTTAAATAAAAATACAGAAGTTTTTAAAAATATTTATTGTACACACTCTTTTAAAGTAAAAAAAATTCAGATAATGAAAATAAAGCTGTAGAAAATCTAGGATGAGCCTAGAAATATTTTGAATTAATAAGATCGTAAAAGCCTGTATTAATAAAAAATATGAGGACAGATATTTTTAAGATGACAGTTAAACACTTCTGTAGCCATAACTAAAAATATAATGAGAAGTATATATTTTATACAGATCCTTAAGATACTTTCATAGTGACAATTATCTTAAGAACAGATTTCTTTGAAATGTGCTTCCAATTACTAAGGATGTTGAAAAGCTTTTTCTCTTAGTTCGTCTGATTTCCTTATAACTTTTATTATATTGTGTTTAATTTTTGAAAATTATTCTTATAGATACTAAAAACACAGACCCAAGCTAACACTGCCTGAATTTTCATATATTCTGTGGATATATTTTATTGTGTAAAAGATAATGACTCTATTTTTCTCTTCCCTCCTTGGGAGAACTTAGATAAATATACCTTCTGACGGAAGCCAAAGCCCTTCTAAACACAATATTCTCTGTTCTTTTACCTATTCCTAGCTAATAGATCTTGGCATGGCTTGGCACGCCTCTTTACATTACCCTGGTCCAACCTCTCTTGGGAACAGCACAGCTGAGTTTTTTTTAAATTTGTTTGTTTGTTTTCTTTTACACTGGGTTGCACTGATGCTGAATGAAAGCACTAATGCTGCAATACGATGGGGGCTGGAGTAGGCAGCAGTTCATTTCTTCCAATGCAAAAGCTGTAAGTTTTAAAGTACATGGAATATATTATATGTATAGTCAAGACTCAGGTCTACATAGCTCACTTAAAGCATATTAATGTTGTATGTTTGTTTCACGTATGTATCCCACAGAGCTTTACAGTAGTTACTACAATTACAATAAAACTGTAGATCAAGCATCAGTTCTTCACAAGTAACTTTTTTTGGGGGCAAAGTTCTTAAGGATCTTACTTTATTTTGAGGGTTAGTTCTATCTTCATTATAACCTTGTTACATAATGATGAGAATTTGTGTTTATTGAAAATGAAGATGACGGTACTTGTTAAAAACCAAGTTGGTGTTAAAAACCAAGTCTGGGTTGCTGAATTACAACCCAGTGTATTTGAGTACACATGTAGCATGACATTATTTTCAATGAATTTAGTACACAATGGATACATTTGTGCAGATTGTAAACAAAAATGTTCTCTGTACCTGCTCAGTTTTGCTATGAAACTAAAACTACTCTAAAAACTAAAGTCTATTTTTTAAAGTATCTCATATATACATATATGTACTGATATGTATATATAGATATATAGTTTCCCTACATTAGATTTTAAACTAATTGGACAAAGATAATTTCTCATTGTATGAGAAATATTTTTGCCAAATAGTCATTATTTTTCTAACTTTTCTAATTATTTTATTACTTATTACTTGAACCAAAAAAACCTTTAATAAACATGTTATATAAAACTTCATGTGGGCTGGGTATGGTGGCTCACACCTGTAATCCCAGCACTTTGGGGGGTTGAGGTGAGTGGATCACTTAAGGTTAGGGGTTTGAGACCAGCCTGGCCAACATGGTGAAACCCCATCTCTACTAAAAATACAAAAATTAGCTGGGAGTGGTGGTGGGTGCCTGTAATCCCAGCTACTCAGGAGGCTGAGGCAGGAGAATTGCTTGAACTAGGGAGACCAAGGTTGCAGTGACCCGAGATCACGCCATTGCACTCCAGCCTGGGCTACAGAGTAAGACTCTGTCTTAAACAGACAAACAAAAAACACTTCTTGTGATTATTCTCCCTGGATGTAGACATTTTTAAACCAGGAAAGTTTAACGTGAAATGACAAAAACCAATAACATGAACAATAACATAAAAACAAAAAGCTATTATGTTCACTTATGTTAATCTTGTACATGTTACCTTTGCTGACAATTTACTTAATTAGTAACATCTTTCTAGGGTCAAACACTACACTAGTGCCAAGAGACCTATGGAAAAAATTAAGAAATGAGTCCTGTCCACCATGAATTACAGTTTTGTCACATGGAAAGAGACATACACAACGGAAATATTTAAGGAATAGTACAATACAATAGTCAAAATGGGTACTACGTAGCTTCAAAGTTGCAGACAGAGGTAAGGAAAAAACAAAAATACTTAAAGTATTCAAGGCCTAAGGATAAGGTGAGATCTGAACATGTGGGAGGTGGGTAGGTTTTGCATGGACAAAAATTATCATGACGTCTTATAAACAAGTATAGCATCCAAAGGATGGTTGGAGTTGATTCCGTTCATGACATTTAAATCCACACAGTCAGGAAGTCAGTTTGTAGTTGAAACTGAGATTCATATTAAATAGGTAGAAATAAGTCTGAGTAAAGAATCAATCATAGTAAATACTTTCTGAGGATCTATCGTGCAATACTCATTTTATGCACGTTATTACAATTACCCTACAGGTAAGTACTATTATCTTCAATTTATAGATTAATTTACTGAGATCCAATGAAACTAACTTTCTCAGAGTCACAGAGCTTGTGAGTGGCACAGCCAGATTTAAATCCAAGTTTGATTCCAAAACTCATACCTCTGTTACCACATCACTTTGTCTCGTAAACAGAATATAATTGCAGCAAATCTTTCATTCCATTGTGCTGTAAGAAGGAACAGTACACCTGGAATTTTAAAAACTCGAACCTGAATTTGAATTCTTACTTATATTAGTTATGAAAAATTGGTTAAGCCCTCTATAAACTGTACCATCTTTTGTAAAAATAAAACTGTGAATAGATGACAGCTAGTCACACAGATGAATGAGGAACAGACAGCGGTAACAGAAGAATGGACATTCTTCCGATGTTGGCAAATACTATGTACTCAGTAAAATTCACTGAATTTAAACTTAAGTAAAGGGATTGTGTAGAGCATCAGCTTTGTGCTAGTTAAGACCATTTTAAGTATAGATTTGGAAGAAAGTAGTTATGGTTTTTGTAGCTAATTCACAACTGGTTCTGCTGTTTAAGAAGGACTCTACTATTGAGTCATTATAGTTGGCAGGAATGATATGTAGTCACAGCATATGATCCTATGGCAAAACTTCTGAGACCATATTTTCATCGCTTCCCAAGATGTCGTATAGGTGAAGTATGGCCCTTAGCATGGTACCTACAGAGGAGACACTCAGTAAATATGTGGTGAATTAAGTAAACGAGGGAACAGAAGAAAGGGAGGAAGAGAAAAAAAAGGACAAGAAGAAGAAAGGCTGCTTGAATTTAAAAGCAGGTAAGCATATCATTTGAAAACTATTAGATGACTCAAGTATATCTTTTAAAAGTCCACAAAGTTTTTTATTTTAATACAGACAAAATAGATTCTTTTGTTTTATAAAAATGTTACAAAATTTGTTATTCAACAACTATGTTATTTATTAATTTTGCCTTCGTATATGCTGCCAGCAAAGAAATACTAAGAAATCCTGACTTGATCATGGTGAATCAGAAGGCATGCCTGGATTTTTTATCACTCTAACTGTGCAGCTAATCATCCAATCTCAAATTTGTTTTTTATGACACTTCAAGGATGCCCTTAGCTGCATCACTCCTTTGTCGTCAAAAGCTTAGAAATAACAATTAAGCAGATTCCTGAGTTACTAAATGACACACAACCAGAATTGAAACTCAGAAACTTTTAGTTCCATGCTAAGCCCACAAGGACACAACATCTCTAAAACATTAATCATAATTGGGCACAAATATTTTTGTCACTATTCCCTCCTGCCCTCATTTGCTTTTATATCTCATTAAGTTCATATTCTATTAATTGAATTATTGCTCTCAATATGTTGACTTTTCACCATCGTAAACTTATACTGATTTTTCAAACTCATATTGTAAAATCAAGCTGTCATGAAATGTAAAGATGTCCACTTCAGTTAAGACTCATGTAAAGGTTTGAAGCTGGAGAAAATTCGTGGAACACAGGTCTTTCTTTTCATCACTTTTCCTCCAATCATCATCTGTGAAATTCTTCCCAACTTCTTAAATGTATATTCAAAATGCCATTCAAGAAACCAATCTAATATTCGGAGACATGGATAATAATAATAAAGTTGATCTCCATGGATATTACCAACAAAACAATCATTAAAATAAACAGATAAAAATGAAGAAATAATCCAAATCAAAATATAATTCTCCTTGTCAGGTGGGAAGAAATACGCAAATTCAGGGAAGCAGGAATTGCAATAAAATGTCCGACTCCGTTCTTTCATTGTCTGTTAGAATAGAGAGAGAAAGATGCAATAAGCACGGATGGGGATTTTTTTTTTTATAACTTTGTGTATGGTGTGAGGAGTAAAATATAAGTAATAAATCTGTTTGCTTTAACATTTAAAACATTCTCATTTGAAGTAATTACATGTGTTTTATTTTTAAAAAAGCAATTGTAGGCACAATAAGTGGTCAAATAATTTTGTTGTAAAAATAAGTTTCAATTAGTATATAACTCTAGTCTAAAAAGAAATAAAGAAGAATACAAGCTGAAAGAGCCAGGAAATAGAATATTTTCCTATCAAAACATCAAAGTAGGCCAGACGCAGTGGCTCATGCCTGTAATCCCAGCAGTTTGGGAGGCCGAGGTGAGTGGATCATGAGGTCAAGAGACCAAGACCATCCTGGTCAACATGGTGAAACCCCATCTCTACTAATAAAAAAATTAGCTCGGCGTGGTGGCGTATGCCTGTAGTCCTAGCTACTTGGGAGGCTGAGGCAGGAGATTTGCTTGAATCTGGGAGGCGGAGGTTGCAGTGAGCCAAGATCATGCCACTGCACTCCAGCCTGGTGACAGAGAGAGACTCCGTCTCAAAAAAAAAAAAAAAAAAAAAAAAAAAATTAAAGTATTCTGTTCATTTTTTTTAAGATACTACACAGTGCCAATTAGAGTAAAGCAAATTTTATCACACATGGTCGATGAAATTTTAAATCTCTCTAATTTAGCAAACAGTCTGATTACATGTATCTTTAAAGAATATTAAATATTACATATTGATTATTCCATAAAGTCTCCTTATGGTAAAATACATATACATAAACAATTTTTTAAAACCTCTGCCTTTCAGTACTTGGGTAATGATAGAGTAATATTTTCATCAGTGTGGCAAATTTGACCACAAAATTGACCATATGGTTAAGTAAACTATAGTGTATTATTTAGATAGGCTATTATATAAATATTAAAATGGCTTCACAAATAGTTTGCAAATAGTCTGAGAAATGCTTATTTTATGCTAAACAAAATGAGAACAAGATTAAAAAATGTATATCATAATATTAACATAAATGTGTAAAACAAAATGTAAGAACTGTAGGAAAAAAAGTATAGAAAAACATACACTAACATGATACTTAATTTTTACTGACTAGTGAGACTAAAGTTTAGTAAGCTGCTTTTCTTTCTAATTTTCATCATTTTCCAAAGTTTCCATAGAGAACAGGGCTTATTTTTATAACTGAGCAAAAGTATAATAACATTTACTTTAAAAAATTAAAAATGGAATTAGAGTGAACCTACCAAAAAAGAGATGGAAACAAGGTATCTCTCTTAATTTCCCTTCATTTGTTTTCTAGGGGAATCTGTATTAATAGCAAAACAGCACCCAGTGTGCACATATGTATGTGTGTGTGTGTGTGTGTGTGTGTTATATACATATAGATAGATAGATGATTAGATAGATAGATGATAGATAGATAGATAGATAGATAGATAGATAGATAGATAGATAGATGATAGATAGATAGATGTGGGGAAGGATATAGGATTATAAATGTGAGTTGAGTAAAAATTGTATTGGACTCCTGCTTTTAAAGCTATTTTCTAGAATCAACCAGCTTGTTGTTATCTTCTAAGTGGCACACTATATATCTCTATTGAAAAAACACATTCATCTCTTCCCCTGAAAAACAGGAGATTATCTCTCAGTTCCCTCAACCATGGGAGGATAAATGTCTAAAGAAACTGAGCTGCTTGAATGTTCATATCCATTATAACAACTTGTACTGACCAAAGGAGTTACTGTACCTGACATTACCCAGAGAATAAAATAAAATGAGCACGCTTTTTCACTAAAATGAAGAGTTCAACCCATTTTATCGATAAGTCAAGTGTGCTATCTCTGCAAAAATAAACCTTTCCACAGTCTTTCTTAAAAAGAAAAAAAAAAATCACACAATGCTATAATACCTAGTAGACTTTCCACTCAATTAACCACTAATAGAAATATTAAAAAGAGGTGCTTGAGGGAGGAAGCTAAAGCTCGAAATTTGATACGTGACATTTGGGATTAAGTTCTTCTGCCTTTTAGAGTATTCATTCATTGAAGTACATGTTTTATTCAAAATAGATCTAATCAAAAGTTCAACTAAGAGTGTGCTAGCCATATGAGCCATATGGCAAACACGCTGGATTCTGACACCTAATTAAAATAGGAGTAGCTTAGCCTTAACATGCTCCTGGAAACTGTCCTTACTATGAAAAAATCAGTGACTTGCAGATTCTTTCATGGCAAGAGACTTGATCAGTCACAAGATCAGACTCGAGTCAGTTTCAAAAACCTCTTGGTTGGAGGAAACTTAAGTAAAGTTTTAAAAACAACAATTCCTCTAAGGAATCTAGTACTCTTAATCAGACGTATACGTTTAATGTGCATTTTAATTCTCAGAGATAGTCTGCCTTTGTAGCATGAACTCAGATTAGAACAGAGAGATGGGAGGAGGCTATGCTGTAAATCCCAGCAGTTTCTAAATCTCACCTTTCCAAATGGTCACTCCACATCAAGGTTGAGGAACACTGGCAGGGTAAGGAGGTGGAGCTGGAAGCATAGTTGTTTGTGTGGTACCTGATCTGTGAACAGACAGAGGATTTCACAGCACACTTCTTTGAGTATTTTGAAAGAAAAGCAAAACCAAAAGGTGCATATCAAAGTCACTTTGGCTATGATGAATAAGGATGTTTTAGATATTACCTTCCTAGGACCATCTCATTTCTACTTCCAAGCTTTGACTCACACTTATTTCCTCCGACACTTAGACATCAACTACCACTTGCGAGCCGAGACCATGTCTGATATGACTGGGGAAGTTATCGCAGCACTTGTTAAACACTGAATAAGAACTCATTGACCTCAAGTGACTGGTGAAGAGAAATCTAATTCAACTACCCTCCAGCTGATTATTTTTCGTGATTTCCCATTGCTCTGGGATAAAGACTAGAATTCTTAACATGACATCAAGGGCTATTTTATCTGGCCTCAGGACACAACTTCAGCCTCTTTTCAAACTTTTTGCCTTTTTTGTCTTCTGTGCTCAGGCTATACCAGCTATCTTCGAATATTAAGAACAGTGTCATCCTCCTTTATACCTCAGGGCCTTTGTACTTGCACTTTCTTCTGCCTGGAGTATGCTTCCATTTCTTCATCACCTGGCTAACTTCTACTCATCTGATAGATCTCAACTTGGAGAATCACTTCCTTGGAGAACATCCTGTTGACTAGGACTGGTCCCCCACTATACGACATCTACTATTATTTTTCTTTCAGGAACTGGTGTTATATGAAACGTATAGTTATGTGTGTGATTATTTATTGAATATGTGTCATTGTACCTAAGCTATAAGCTTCATAAGAGCAGGAACCATGCCTGGTTTTGCTTACCACTGAGTCTCCAGCAGCTACCACAGTGCCTGGCACAGAAATCATGGTGGATAGGCATTTGTGGCCTGAACGGACAATGCTGCACAGCCAGTCCCGAGGCCCATCCCTCAACAGCATTCTCCATGTTACACATCTCCTAAATTCATTGGATGTTACAGCCAAAAAATGATTCCTTTTTTTTTTTTAAATAAATTTCTCAGTAATTGTCTTTAAGAAAAAGACAGAATAAAATGAATTCCTCATAAAAATGTGTTATAAGAGAAAGGAGAAAAAAATAAAATCCAATGTTTCTTTAGTCTTTTTAAATTGGCTTCCTAAGGTTTTATTTTATCTCTCAAAAATTTAATTAAGATTATCTTAAGCAACATGGCCATCTTAAGTGGCGTGGCCTTATACAAGCTGTCCAGACAGACATACAGTTTTCCAGTTCTTAACTGTGTTAAGCTAATGGATGATTTCTGTTTTAGGCAGGCAGTGCTGTGTGAAGAATCATAAAATGCCATGTCTTCTTTGCAGCAGAAGTTACACTTTGACCAGTACCTATTCCACAGCAAACAGAAAACGTTTAGTGGCAATTCGCACAGAGATTTTATGGTTCTGGAAGACTGGTCAGACTTTGAAGAGAAAGGAAAACAAGTTTTTGGGTTTTTTAACATTTTTTTTTCTGCAAGACTTTCAAAGCCCCCGTTGTACTCCTATGTGAGAAGATTCTCCATCTGCTAAGAAACAATCTGGTTAGGATAAGTTCTCACCTTAGCTGACCACTAGGTTCCTCTTCCTGCTTTTATGCTGCTTGTTTCTTATTTAGAGCCCGCTTTAACTAAGGAAATGCCCTTGGGCTTGCATTATTTGTTGGCTAAACTTTAGAAGCAGATTACAGCTGTAGGAATTTTGATATCACATACCTGTACAATGCAAATAGCAGGAGATTACATAAAAAAAAAAAAAAAAAAAAGACCTAAAAGAAGAAGCACTGCAAGGTAATTTGTCAAGAGCCAAGAGTTCTGAAGCATATGTTTCCCTAGAGGCATTGTCTGTGGAGCACAGAGGATTTTTAGGGCTCTGAAACTAATCTACGATTCCATAATAGTGGACATGTCATTATACATTTTTCCAAACCCAGTGAACCCTAATGGAAACTATGGACTTTGGGTAATAATGCTGTGTCACTGTAGATTCATCAACTGCAATAAATATACCACTCTGGTAGGGGACATTGATAATGGAGGAAGCTATGCATATGTGGGGACAGGGGGTCTGTGAAAAATCTCTGTAATTCTCAATTCTGCTATGGACTGCTCCAAAAAATCAATTCCATTTTTAAAAATTGTTGTATATTGGAGATTATATATGATTTGATCTACTAATAGCCTTGTTACTACTGTTTCTGACCCAAGTTTTCCTTCTCCTTAACATGTCCTTCATATTGTTTCCAAGGCAAATCTTGGCAAATCATAAATATCTTCGAAAGTTTCCCACTTCTAAAAGATAAAGACTACCATATGTCAGGTGATGCCAAACCCCTTTGCCTTTAATTTCGTTTCATGCTTAAACCCTTTAGTACCCTGATCTTCGTTCACACCAAATATGGCCTGTCCTGAAAGTATAAGAATGAGTAGGTACTAATGAGCCTCTCTTAGACATATCAGCTCTTGCAGCCATAAAGATTTTCCTTCATGCTGCCTAGGATCTTCCTGCCTGAAATAAATCTTGTTCTTGTTCCAACTAAACTTACAGCTCTGTTGCGTTCTTCCCAAATTTCCCAGTATATAAGATATCCAGTCTGCCAGCAAAGTTTATCCTCCCTCTGGATGTGAGAGCCCAAAGATTTCAATTTAGACAGCTTTACTTACTAAACTGTGTTACAGGATATTTTTAAATAATTCAGTTAAGGCGGTGCAGACTATTTATCAGTGTACTTGGGGGAAGGGTCGGTGTTGATCTTCCAATTTGAATTTAACTCTTGGGCTAAATTGTTTTCCTATGGCAATTCTGAAAGATGATTGATGTGTGAATGCAGATGCCACAGACACCAAATGGAGACTACACAAGCATAGCTCATTTGTTTGGCCTTCTGCTATGGCTCATTTGTAGACCCTGTGGCTGTTTATGGTTTAGCTGAGGATGCCTGATGCCTGTATTCACAGAGCCATGTTGCCTCTGTGGGCTGAACACTATGCTAGTTTGTCTGCATCATTCCTTCCAGAATGACCCAGCTGTACCACAGGGTTATAGCTACTTTCCATCATGTCGTTAATAGTTATCTCTGCTCACCCACACCAGCTCACTAATTTATCCCCATCCACACTGCTTGATCCTGAATAACTGAGGACTATGATGGTCTGTGCTGTCACCTTCAGAATTTCAAGGCCAGATTCGTAACATGGCATAAAGCTAGCTAGATTTTGAAGGAACAAAGAGAAAACTATCCTAGAATTCCCTCTCTTCACCTCTGATTAATTGAGTCCTTGTTACAGGTCATCCCGCTCCCATAGCTATCCCCTCCCTCTTCCAACTTCCTGACCACTGGCTCCTTTCCATCCACTTTCAGATATGTGGAGGCTTCCCTTGTCTTGGGAAACCAATACACACGAACACCTGTGCTTGACTGTTTGTCTCTACTCCTTCCTACAAGCGCAGTCCAATGTTTTGCCTTCCTTTACCACCAGCTTTTTAAAGTGACATACAGTGTCAGATGCTCCTAATTCCTCTCCTTTTAACTCCCTCCTAAACAACTGACCAGAATTAGAAGGTCCTCTCCCTTTGTCAGACACTGTTCAAACACTTTACAAATGATATTTCATTTAATTATTTGTAATTGGTACTCTTATCATCTTCACTTGAGATATGCAGAAACGGAGGCATAGATAGGTAAAGTAACTCGCCTAGGGTCACCTCCAGGTGAGTGGCAGAGTTTGAATTCAAATGCCAGGAGTCTAGTTCCAGAACACGGGTCCTAACCACACTCTACTGCCTCACTCCCTCCAAATTCTGTAATTGTTTTTCATTCCTGTGCTAATAAAACTAGTCTCTTAGAAACTTTTGGTATATGCTCTCATCTGGTATTGTAGTACTCAGGCTAGACATACCTGTACTGCATATTAAGTTCTAGAATTGACAAACCTCCCCCTGCTTTTTATGCAAGTATAGTGAAACTTCATTAAGCTGGAATGAACACATTATTCTGATAAGGGTAGAACTAAATTTTATATTGTTCATGACATAAAATAGAGTTAATTGGTCAAATTAATAAGCAAAACATATAAGGTAGTAGGAGCAGCATTTGACCTACTCAAGAGGGAAAATACAGATAATTTTAGAAATACAAATCCAGGCTTCTGATATCAAAGGAGTCTTTCCTGATCCAGATAATAATATGTATAATGCACTTCTTGATTCCTGCCTTGCAGGAGTGTGTACCCTAGTTGGGAAGCAATTGAAATAACAAGAAATAATAGAAAATGGCACATAGTCACAATCCAGAGCATAAGATGGTGATGTTCACCATCATCTACTTTGTTAGAATTTGCAGCCTATATTCTGAGCATTGGCAAGTTCTTCTTAGGCACCAAGCCACCAAGAGAGTAGTGATCCCTGTGGGCGTAAACGAAACTGCACATTTTAAAGCTAAGAGGAGCCTTGGAGATGATGTAATCCAACTCTCTTATTTACAGATGAGGATACGAAGCCACTTTTTTTACAGTCAAAAAGTGAGCTTGTAGCAAAGTCCTATCTGGAATCTAGCTTCCTCTTTCTGCTCTATCACTAGGCCCAGTAATAGATTTGTAGATTTAATCCCCACATAAATACCCTAGGACATACCTTATTGAGCAAATGCTTGTTTCTTTAAAAAAATAAAAGTGTGGATAACTGAGCAGGGTTAAGAAACTAAAACATGTGAGCTGGGCCAATTATACCACTCAGTGAGCCCCACAAGAGCAGAGATTTTCGTGTTTCTGTTTGTTGATGGAACCTGTGACTAAACCAGAGTCAGCCACAACGTGGTTTAATTCCTATGTGATGTTTGAATGAACGATTTCTTCTACATGTTTTTACATACAATGTCTATAAGTGAGTAGATATTATTTCTATTTTATAGGTGAAAAAAAAAATTTAAGCTGAGTGAAGTTGACTTGCTCAAATCTAGACCTAGAACCAGAACTAGAAACCAGGCTTTTGGTGCCTAATACAT